TGCAATTAGATTGTGCTTAATGAGAGAAAATTTCAGAAGAACAAGACTAGTTCAAACACCATCTAAGCCAGGCAGAGCTTTTACGCCTCCACCTCGACCCAATGTGGAGTTTGTGACGATACCATTAGACATAGTTTTATCGCGTTGATTTAGTCTTTCGCAGGTCACTCTATCCCCCTTCAAAGTTGTACTTTCCGTTGTCGTGATTTGCTAAACAAATATCAGTACGATTGCTAGTTCTATTATGTTTTCTTCAAGACTATAGAAGTAAGGATTGATACTTACCCTCTTCTGCATGAACTCAATTTCAGCAAACAGTAATTCATTCTGGAAAATTTCTCGAGCATTAGTCTCATCAAATCAACAATGAACTCAAGAAATTATGAAACAAAATTTAGAAAAACATGATCACCTTTTTCGAATGAATTCTTCCAATGGCCTTCTCCACTTTAGTCTCTAAGTTCTTGAGTTCCTTGAACTTCAAAGTGCCAAGGTCCTCGCCAAGAATTTGTCTGCACGTGATGCAATGTGAATGAATCATAAATGCCAACTCGTAAGATGTCTGCAATAATTTAAATAATAGCATCTAATGATTAACTAATTAACCTGTTTGTATTCAGAATATCTCGTATTTGTCTTCGCAGCTTGGTGGATTCTTGCTCATAGAACTAAGAATTTAAATTACATATGAAATTATAGTCAGAATGGCGCATTAAAATCGAAGTCGTAGAGTGCAATTTCTAGTTGGAAGCAGGGGCGGATCCAAGGACAGCCAACCTCTGCTAGAACCTGTCCCTCCAGCCCAGATCCCAAGTAAAAAAAAATAGTAAAAAAATTTTTTTTGTGTGTAAAAAATTTTTTTTTGCGTTTTAGTCCCGTGTCTAATTTTTTTCTGTATCCGCCACTAGTTGAAAGTAAGGTTGTTATGTCCCTTCCAATGTAAAAACTTGTTCATTAATATACTTGTGTGTAACAAAACAAAGAACAGTATACGCTAGTCATGGTTTACCACTTAAAATGCTTAACAGTTTAGTTTTTACCTGTGTGTTAGCCACAGAAACAGATCCTGGATTCAAGGAATCGACACAATCTTTCTTGTATCTATCAATAGTTGCCTTAACACTGCATATATTTACATATGATCATTTCAATTTCCATGTCCAAAAATGTGTCTAAACATGTGTAATGTAAATAGATTCTTCATTTAACATCATTTTACGTATTAAACAGTAATAAAAGAAGCAAAACAATAGTGAAAATTCACTTCAAAACTTTCTTGTACTTCTCTACCAGATAGGTCCAAACGATGTTTGGATTGCATAACAACATCAAAACTAGACTAGCTAGTTGACCATAGACGTAAATGTAACATCGTGTGTCGACTGAGAAGAATAACTATCGAATGAAAATATGTTAAGAAACCCGTTTAATAATTCAAAGAACCTGTATAGCTAGTTCAATTTTTAAACCTAGCTAGTTTAACAATTTCTTCTACTAATTCCTCTTCTATTTCTTGTTCACTTCATTAATGCATTGTGTTAAATTTGGTAATGCTATAGCCGTAAAGGGTTTATTTTTTACCAGTTAAAAAGTAACTGTGCTAATTTACTTTTAAATTTTAAGCATTCACATTACAGACTATGCATCAGTTATTCAGTCACACAGAACATCACGGTGAAAACACATACATGCCACTTTCAGTCTGGATAACCTTAATTTCCTCGAGCTACTGATTGGTTGTCCTATGCCACGCTGGCACAAGATCCCACAATATGATTGGCTCAAGCATCTTTGTTATGGGATCTTGCCACGTGTACAAAATACTCCTTTGTCCCAAGTGTAATACCCTACTAAATCACCCTATTACCCACCTCGATGCATTCAAAATCCCGATATTGCTTTCATGGATTCAGTTCTACTAGTGACGTGTTTGAGTATTTTTATGTTTTTAAACACATACAAAAATACTTTTTTCACACGCATATTTATATGTGAAATGTGTATGTATATATGGTAAGTCTTGTTTGTCTGTGAACTCTTCTTCTTTATGAATGTTCAGAGCAGCCATTTTTGCACTCTTTCCCATACATTGTAAAGAACTTAGTAGATGCAAAGAAACCCCATTGGATGATTAATCTATTGGCACCAATGGCACGCAAGAAGTCATTTTTCTCGGAGAAATTCTTCGGTGGGACAGTCTCACTCGAAGCAAGACACCATAGACTTTGAACTCGCTCAAATCACAATAACTCGAACTCAAACAGAATGGGTAAATAGAGTTACTCGAGATTCAAGGTGTTCGTGCTTTGAGTAGACGTCCCACTGAACTTTTTCTCTCTGTCACTTGAACTTGAGGAAGACAAACAGAAAGGAAAAACAAAATGGGGAAAATATTTTAAGAAAATGGTTACCCACTTTAGGTAAGTCATTTCTTCATGCTTCTGTTGCATATTTAAAGAAAATGGTTACCCACTTTAGCTAAGTCATTTCTTCATGCTTCTGTTGCATCTTTAAATCTTCAGAAGCTCTTTTTAGCTTCAAAAAGTGGACTTCGAGATGGAAGATGCAGTAAGTGTAATTTTTACATCTTTTGGGAAAAAGATTTTAGGCCAAAGAGGTGAGGAAAGAGAATACCCCAAGAAAGGGAATAAGTTTAGAACTGAGAAATCGTGCTGAAATCACCAAAGATTCCTTGGCTAAAGACAAAACTTTGTTCACATTTATTTCAAACCCTAACTATGGTTTCCATGCTTTAATGTTCCATCACTAGACTGCACTCTACAAAGGAGGGTAAGATGGTAAAACTGGAAAACTGAAAAGTACTATCCTGTAAAATTGATGTAATATGTCATTTGACTAACTGATATGGAATTCCAATGAGTTTTTGTTCATACCTTTTTTGAGCTTTGGATTTGAAACCCTAATTTGCAAAGTTTTAGGTTAATTGTTTATTTGATTTGTTCAAACTGACATGAATTAGGGAAGTGTCAATAAGATGAAGTGATTGGACAACACTTGACGAAGTATAGCACACGTTGGAGATGATTTTTCAAGACTTTTCATATTTTGTTAACCCTACAAGATCTTTAAACTCCTACTGCTTATTAATTACATCACTTCTATTTCCATTAATTGCAACAGATCTTAGAGGTATATACAAGATCTGAGAAGAAGCCAAAAAAATAAACAAAAAAGAAACACAACGCTCATAAAGTCAATAATCAAGAAAGGCATGTGAATCTTTGTATATGTTTCCTTATAAATCCATGACAGAACTTGTGTGATCATCAGTACAAGCTTCTAAATTCTCAATAACATACAGGAAAAACACAAGAAGAAAAATAGATGATAGAAAAATGGGATGAAGAGTAGAGATTTTTCCAGTGGAGCCCAAAAATGCAGATGTAGAACAGTGGAAATTAAAAATTAAAAAAAAATTATAACTTTCAACACAATTTATGGTAGATCTTGTAAAAGGGTACTTGAAAACGAAAGATCAAAGCATAAAATCATGTAAAATGGATCTTGAAAAGGAAGCATGAAACCTTAACCTGTTATTTGCATATTCATACAGTCTTCCACGGTTTGAGAAGACGATAAGAGCAACTTCAGCATCACACAACACAGACAATTCATAAGCCTTCTTAAGTAGGCCATTTCGGCGCTT